TCAAATATAATTTGAAAACCTATTTGTGGTCTCTAAATTAAAAATAACTTCTAAGACATATGTTTGTGGCCGGTCTCTAGCCACATACACATCTGACACACTGACATCTCAAATAACTGCGACAGGTTTCGTTTTTTACTTGGTACCATTACCACTGTTATCAGTCACTAACCTACCACTTCTCTTCCAGAGACTCCAGCTATATGTGAAAATTTTATCGGTAATGACTCCAGCTGCCTATGATCCTTCGGTTCCCCCAAAATCCTTGGTTGTTTGGTTTTTGTTTTTTTTTAATCACTTTGAGCCTGTTTCTCTGTCTAAATTGGCTGAAATGATTACCCATCTGAAGCTCTCTGTGTGTCTCCCTAGACATTATTCCCACTCATTTATTCAAGAAGACACAGTCAGGCCTATGGTGCTATCCATTATTGATGTCTGTCTTCTAAAAGGGACATGTCTTTCTCCCTGCCATCTTCAAACATGTGGTAGTGCAGCCAGCTCACAAAAAAACAAAAACAGAAAAAACTGAATGAGTTCTAAATTTCCTTTCCTGTCCAAGGTGCTGGAAAAAGATGTCAAATGGTTTCAATGGTGAGAAGTCTGGTTTCAAAGCACACAATAGCACAGAATAAGCACTTTTAGATGTTTTTTATTCATCTTCTATTAATCTCAGACTCGAATGATTATGCTATTTGGCACAGTGGATCATAGTATCCTAGTCTCTGGACTGAGAATTGTGTGGGCATTAAAGGAACCTTTTCTCTTAAATGGTTTAGATCAGTGATTCCCAGAGTGTGGTCCTGGGCCCCCTGGTGGGCTTTGAAAGTACTGCAGGGGAGCCACAGTAAGAGGAGAAATTCAAAGTATGTACAGTTGCATATTTATATGTATTTATTTATTTTAATAAAAGGTGAAGCAAAACTGTTAATACAGGTTTGAGTCCCAGGGGCAGGTGGGTCACACATTTGACTCAAGCGTTTCTACTAGAGATGGCACAATACCACTTTTTTATGTCTGATACCAATATTATGAATTTGGATATCTGCCGATACCGATATGAATCCGATATAGTGTTTTTTAATCAATAAAACGTTTTTTTAATATCTTGCTGCATTTTGTATAAGTTTATACTCAAGTTTAAATAAATAACAACACTAACGCTATTCTGTTATACCTGTATGTAAAAAATACACTGCGCCCAAAATATTCATAGTTCAGCAACACTGATCAATCTAATAAACTTAAACCTACTCCATCCTCCCTATTCTGGTATTTTAAAGAGTACTTAGAAGAAATATTAAGCAACCTAACTAATAGGGTTGCAAACTCCCAGCAAAATAAAATAGGGAACCACCCCCCACCCTCCACCTCATGATGCTTAATCGATGTAATCAAATTTAATTTGATGCAGGGGGGAAATGCACAGAAATAAATTATTTTTCAAGAATAATTAAATAGATTCAACATCTTTCTTCAACAGAATTGCAGAATTCACAGATGGTATCTTCCCAAAGGAAAAAGTAGTATTAGACTTAAGTTACTATATACAGTAATGGACTTCTATATATTTTACATCAGATTAAAACTTTGGGTGTAAGATTCGGATGATCATTCATTGAAAGCTGGACATTTTAAATGAGAATAAGAAAGAAAAGTATGTCTTTGTGCCCCCTTTTCCCTGTTCATGCCCTATCGCCCCCCTGGCTAAACTTTGCTAGATCCGCCCCTGCACAGTTACCAGCTACATAGAAAAGGATCCTGGTCTAGAAAGTAATGTTAAATAAATTCTAACAACAGCTTATCAAGGTTAAATGTGCTGC